CTGCCCAGGCTATCAGTGATAGCCTGGTTAACAATACCCTAAGAGAGGCACAAAACCAGTGAGGTAAGCTGGCTTAAAAACTTAGTTTTCCCATGGGGATGTGTGATTTACAAATCAGAAAAACAGATACCTTCAGATCCAATGCAGAAGTACATGCAAGCGACGGTGTAGCTCATGGGTCAAGTGAATGTAGTAAATTCACTTTCTAAAATGCCCAAAACACTGGGGAAATGTTTATGCTGTGGCTTGGAGATGGTGTGGCTTTTGGGCATGACTCACTGTAAAAGGGAGAGGTAGGTTTCTCCAGTTCACCATACCCCGATCATAGCTTTCTGGTATTATTGGGAAAGGGGCTCAAATTCACCACAGCAAGACTTCAGTCAAGATAGTACTTCAGCCATTACTCATTTTCTGATTAAAAATTAAATATGTTTAATTTGAAATAATTCAAACAACTTTAATGAGATAGAAATATATAAAAGCTAAGAAGTCTTGAACAATAATTTTAAGTGGTCAAAACAAAAGTCAATTAACCCATCCACCAGAGCATGCTGCTGAGATCTCCTAAGAGGGGCTGAGGATGATTAATTGTTCCCCAATTTCTCCCCTGGGGGTCAGCAGTGGGAAACCCACTGTCCAGTGCAGGTGTGGCCCAATGGTAGGGAAAAATGCATAGCACAGGGACAGGGCAAAAGAAACTCTGCCTTGGAAAGGATTCCCCTGCTGGTAAGGCCAATCACAGGGACCTGTCTCCTGCCTGCTGCACACCAGAGGTTCCCTAGAACTGCGCCAAATCCTTTAGTGACACAGATACTAGTGAATAGCACCACACTAGCGGCCATAGGATCCACTTAGCATCACAATCTAAAGTTAGCTTAGTGAGGCTTCTGGAGCTTGGCAGATACTCAGTTTGAAAGACAGAGCTTATTTCATGGGACAAAGATCAACATCAACGCAGCAGCTAGGAGGGAAACACTGTTTATACTCTAAACAGGGCAACCTGACCCAAAATGTCTTCAATGGGCAGAAGCATTGTTGAGAAACAGGAAGGGTCGGGCAAAGTACGTTGGAGGGAGAATGTGCCAGCTCTCACTCCGCTGGGCAAGAACGAAACAGAAATACCAGCATCCAGGGAGCAGGACAGGGATGCCTAGGGATGGAAAGAACACAAGGTTTGCACGAAGAGACATTATCTCCTTGAAGTCAATTTTGTGAATCCCTGAATGCTGTGTGTTGGCCTTGTCTACCCTAGAAACCCCGGACATTGAGCATGCGCTCTCTGCAGGGTGGCGAGGAGGCAGACAGTGGCCAACCCACCTCTCTGCTTTCTGTAATCTGGGCCTGGGAACCCTGGCCTTCCCACCGTCTGCAAGTCTGCCCAGAACTGAAAGCATCAGAGCACTTTCTTCTTCCTGCAAGTCACTTCTGCCCACTCCTGAGCTTGCTTCAGGACTCAGCTCCTTGTCCACCTGAGCAGGGACCGTCCCATGGCTGCTCACAGGCAGCTGTGGTCAAAGGGGCTGCTGCTCTTCTCCTTCCCTTAAGCTGTACACACTTCTTTGATGCCTTAAGTTGTAGCAAAATATTTTTTCTCCTTTTGTGCCAAGGCAAATAAAACTGGAAAGGAAATGACGCCATAGCGAAATATGGGCAAGGGGTCCGAAAGTGATCTCAGAGTTGCTAAGAGACAGAGGGGAAGGGAGAGAGGGAGG